TGACTATAAATCTAAAAGCCAATGCTGGCATATGAGAGTTTTGTTTTTCTCGGCGGGTGCCACTGTTGTTAAAACTGGAACATCATCTCCCCATGTCAGCTAAATGTGCTTTTCAAGAGAAGTCGCCTCCAGATACCGCTATAGTGTCACGCCTTCACTGTAAGCCAATTAACGTTTCAGTCAACCTTAGTACATCTAAATTTACGGAGAACTGACACCAATCTCTTTTAAGTTAAAAAAAAAAGCGATTAGAGTTTTCCGGTCACTGCCACCGAAAGGACGGGGAGGTCGTCTCATCTTTACTTCTATGGCATCCTTCTGGAGGTGTCTTCTCGCGAAAATTGACTTTCCTAGAGACCATGGCTCGGGACTCAGGATTGGATATTGGGTATCTTGGACGGCAATGCAGGACCGATCAGTGTGGAAAGGGATTGTTATTGGAGTTCCGACCAACCACAGGGTGGTCGAAGGATGATGATGATGCAGAATTCTTACTGCAATCACTCGAGTAAGTCGCGAACCAGGTAGGTCTCTATTTCAATATGAGCAAGACAGAATATATCACAACCTCCGCTAAACCATCCGAGTTGAAGTCACTCAATAATATATCCATCAAAAGAGTTAAGAACATCAAGTACCATGGATATCACATAATAGATTCCCAAAAAGACTTCAACATCCGCAAAGCTCTTGCATGGGATGCGTTTAAGAAACTTCACAAGATTTGGTGTTCGAACCTTCTATCCACTTTAAATGTCCAAACATTTCGAATGCTGAAGGAACCAGTCCTACTGTACGGATCAGAAACTTGTATATTATCTGTTCATCTTGAAAAACAAACGGATAGACCATATACAAATGTGCTTAGAAAAACATCAGTTGGAGATACCATGCAACACTTTAAAAAAAGTTACGGGTAACTGAGACCAATCTTTCTTAAGTTAAAAGAAAAGCGCCACCTAGAGGACAGGGAGGTCGTCTCATCTTTACTTCTATAGCATCCTTCTGTAGATGTTTTCTCACGAAAGTTGGGGATCTGCGACGGCAATGCTGTATCGAGCAGTGTGGAAAGGAATTGTTAATGGAGTTTCGACCAACCACAGAGAGATCGAAGGAAGATGATTATATTTAAATTGTAGAATCATTGTAGGCATGATATCAGCGACACAAAAACTGAGCCCTGTAGTCCGAACATATAGTGGAAACGTAATTATTCTTCTTGGAATTGCAAAAAAAAAAAAAAAATCTCAATGTTATTTTTTTCTTTACACTTCATCATTCATATGGAAAATAAGATTTTACGGTATGTTCAGACTTCAGGGATCAGTTTTCGGTCGCACATTAGAAGTATCATTGCATGATGTTTCCTCTAGGATGGCCTCACTACTAAGATGCTTCTATCAGAGTTATCTCCTCCTAAATTTTGACACCACCACTTGGGGAAGCTATCCCTAAACTATATATGCTTGAGGCCTTGTGTCGTTCTCTCTCTCTTTTCCCACTTTTCAGAGGACACACTTGAAAAATTTGATCTCTCGTGGAGATTTGCGTTTTGATCTTTTGTGGGAAGACGCCATGAAAATTATGGGCGCGCAAATACACACGCACGTACGTGCGAACATATTTTGAAACCCGAACACTTTACGTTCATGAACATACACAGGATTTTGTCTTATGTAAACCCTTTTTTATTGTTTAATACATATACATGTTTGTACATATATATATATATATATATATATATATATATATATATATATATATATATATATATATATATCAGTTCTTCGTTGTTTTTTTTACATTTTCTTTTTGGGTGGACTCATCTTGAGTCCGCCATGTTTGTAGTTGACTTTATTTCAATTGTTCCACACGTGTTTCCTTCACAACGCGTATTAAACCCAGGGTCTGCTACACTTCTACCGAGTCGAGAGTTGAATTGGGAGAGATTATCCAAGCAAAAGCTTTCTACTTTAAAGTGATTGAGGAGATGAGGGATCGAGGATTTACTCTTATAAAGCCACTGGCAATCTTGTGAACCAAACTAGTGAAAGGCTATATGGTGCCGCATTCTATCTGCGAACGACGATTCAGTCTCGTTGAATACGTGCTTACATTCATTACGAACGGCTACAAAGAGGTGTCTGTTTTGTTCCGAGATGTCACGTTGGTATAGCCGGTATAAGTGATTTGTGTGTGTTATAGCCGTTGAATGAGTAATGAATGAACCAAGGAGAAGATTAGTATTTCTGTGCTTGCATTCACCCAAGAGAAAAACCCGGTGCCACAATTTTCAACGGGATGATTCATTCCAGGGGTGGGGGTCGCCAAGTGAAACACGAAATGAGTCTCAATCACTGTGTTCGTAACAAAAAGATGACATGAGCAAAGCATTACGTGACCAGGAACCGAAACAAGCACAATTTTTATCATGATTTAATATTGAAACATTTTGATCACTTATTTATAATTATACTCATGGGAGGAAAATAATGAAAAACAAATAAAAACATATATGAAAAATATACCAATATATGTTTATAAGCATATTGCAGGTAAATCATATTCAAATTTAAAGCTATTTCAGTTTATAGATGAGAAATCTGGAAAGATTAACGCTTGATTTTCAATATTTCCTCCATATTTGTTCGCTTTGTACACTCATTTTTAACTCCTCGATATATTTCTCTAGAGGGGTGATGAAAATGTTCTTTCTTTATTTTCTCTTTGCCTTTCGATAAAAAAGATGGGCATAATAAAATCTGACTTGACTACCGTTTCCATGTCTCATGGTTCTGGTGGAATATAATGAAAAACAATTTGAATAAAATAACTGTCTAAATGGAAACGAGAAACACTCGTACTGCGCTGTTTATTACGCTGATGAAAAATGAATTCAAGGAAAATCTGATTTTAACAACTAATAATTTAAATAAGATAGCCTTGCTTATTACAATATGTAAAAAAAAATGGCTTTTTCTCGTCTTTGATTAGTAAGAGATATTTCTTAAGTGCTTCTGTCTCAGAAGCAAAGGAAATGATTATTATTCCCTTCAAACTTTGCTTTTGTGATCCAGACATTAATGTTTTGAAATTAAGCTATTTGTTCATTACATTCCAGACAGATTCAGTGCCGAGTTGCGAAAGGGGTATGTTCTAGAACTTTCGAGAAGTTCCTAAAAGTTTCAACAATCTCTAGAACGTTCTGGCTAACAAGGCTCTTATAAAAAAACAAAAAAAACAAAAACATGATGGACGACTGTATTTTCGGGGCTGAACCGTGAAAGCATAAGCGTAAATCACGAAAAACAATCCACTCCTGAATTTTCTGTGTTCTCTCTTGTGTAATCCTAGCATAAATAAATGCTACTTTTGAATCATATGTCGTTTTGCCCCTACTTTGCGTGAACAAAAATGTTTATATTCGCCAGTCTTCCCAATGCGAACAAGTAACTTCCCGCAATATCATTATGCTGGTCACAAAAGCAAAGTTTCTGGAAAATATTAGTCATTTTTCACACTTTCAAGGCAAAAGGAAACAGGAAATAATAGTTGCTATTCAAGGACAAATATCATGTTACATCTTGTTATTGTTCAAGATGCTCATTATGCAACTATATTCAACCTAATCTCAGTTAACGTTAGATAAATTTGTAACAACTACTCATCAACATTTTTACGGGTTAGTGCACTGTTGCCGTATTGTGTTAAATGCCTTCTTTGTATTTCAGCTCATGACACATTTTTCGACCAAAAAAAAAAACAGGTCATTACTCTTTGTTCCTCCTTGGTGCACACTGCTAGAGGAGAGACCATGTTTACACTGTAACAGCAGCAAGACAAACTGGCACGATCAAGCTATACGCGTGCATGAACAGAAGGCAGTGTGACAAACCTTAAGAGATGTTATAGCAAAAGTGTGGATATTTTTTACCTTACCCGCGTACTTGTCAAACATCATGGTGATCATACATCATTATTTTAGTCAATTAGGTTTATAACATTTATTCAAACACCTGTATATGTGTGCACGAACATAAGTGTAAAGAAGCAAAGCTAAGTAGCTGATCTCCTCTCTGATTTAAGAGCTCCACGGGTATAAATGTCTGGCTACAATCAATGCCTCAAAAACCAAATTAGTAACGTTCAAATATCACCGAGCAGAGTCTGAATACTCGTCTATCGCAATGAATAAGGGTTCTCGCAAGGAGGGCCTTTTCCTTAACACCTATTGGGACTTAAGGTCACCCAAGATCTAAAGTGAAACTCGTTTATACGCTACATCGACAAAGAGGTTGGGAAAACGTTCTTTTCCCTTTGCCGATCTAGTATATACCGGACTCCTTTTACTATGTTCTACCTTTACAAAAGTCAGATCAAACCAAAAATGGGATAGTCCTGGTACTGTCCAGTCTTTAATTTTCAGTCTTGTGTGACTCCATAAACGTCTACCCGGCCTTGTGGGTGATGATAAATTTTCCAATCCCTTTCCAACAGACTAAAACATTTCAAGCCTCTCACTACTCTATAGCCCTTTCCCTGAAAAGTGTTCAGACGAGCTACATTCCTCAGTAGCACGAGTTCTAAACCTCACAGCTAATGTCTACTACGCCGTGTACACTGAGGCGAACCAAACTCATTTTTTTAGTATTCCCTAAGGAGGACATTCCACTCGATTATCTTCCTATGAACCAACTCCAAAGAGGATATATTCCGACCGCTACAAACTTAATCTGTTCCCATCTAGGATAGACGGTTATATTCTCCACATATCCTTGTAAACTCCGCCTCTTACTCTTACCACTCAGCAAAAAACTTCCTTCAGTAACTATCCACATTGAATAGATCTTGAGCTTGTGGTAAACATTGGTAAAAATACAACATAAAACAAAATGCTGTTTCATATAAATGCTGTCAAACTCTAGGACCGGCAAATTGTAGTCAAGCCGAAAATTGTATAGCCATAAGAAAATAGTTGAATAATAAATATTACAACTTATTCAATTAATATCTCGTTTCAATATAAGTGATTTCCCAACGAGCGGAAGTGAGAGAAACATAAAAACATATAATCGGATAGCTAGAAAAAGAGATACAAAGATATACGCTAGTAGAAAACAAGTATTATACTAAAAGAAGGAAGAGTTTTGGGGGTCGAATAATTTTAAAAAAAAAACACAAGTTACTTTCCTTTTCAAGAGAAAAATGAAAGGTTGGAATGAGAAGAGGGTAAACTTGATGTTTTGACTTAATTTGAATTAATCAAGTATGTGTAATATGTGTGTGAAAAAAAGTTCTCCATTTCTTTTCTTTACGATTCTTTTATTATATACTATTCTTCACTCGTGAAGCTCTTCCCGATTGGATTGTTGTTTTCCTTATCTGTCAGTATTAAACTGAGGGTTTAGACACATTTTTCTTTCTACTAAAAGTAATTGTTTACTGGAAAACACCTCTTTTCATTTGGACTAAGGTGATAACTCCAACAGGTTACAAAAAGGGACTTATTGCAATAATCTGTTACCTTATTTCCATACTTCTGTTACTGGGCGTTTGTTATGATTTAGGACGCATTGAATAAGTGCTTAACCCAGTTTCCTTTGGTGGTGTGATTTCTTTGTTTTCTTTTGGAAAAATCGCCACGATATCAATTCATTCATTTTTTTTTTCAGAGAAATTTACAACATAATTTCAAAACCTTACATTTGTTCTTGAATTGACATGTGACGAATTAAAAATAAAATGTGTTAGTAAGTTTTAATTTATGAGTAGCATAGTTTTGATATATTGCGAATAAGTAGTCGGAGAAAATGGAAGTCGTCACACAGCAGTAAGGATTTACGAATGATACGCATAAAAGCTGTTAGTATGTCTTTATTCTAGATTTTACAAAAAATACAAACCAAAATTCTGATACAAAAATAGGATTTTTAATTGAAAATAAATATTTGATCCTAAAAATTATCATTTATTGATAGAACGATAACATGCTTTTTTCATATAAATATGAAGGAATTTGCTAACAACGAAGTTTGAGTTTGAAATTGGAGTCTTACATTTACTTTGGTTTTAGTCATTATCAAGTGCCACAAAGTAAGAGTCTGTGACAGTCAGTCTCTTTCTATACACCGAGTTTTTTTTTTTTTTTTTTTTAATTTGGAATCGAAAAAAATAATTTGTCAATAAATTATTCATTTTTGATGTAAATAGTACTGCAGATAATAATATTTTATATATATATATATATATATATATATATATATATATATATATATATATATATATATACATACACGCATGCACACATATATATAAAACAGGTTATATACAAGGATGTTCGCACTTATTGTTTCCCTATGAGTGAACGTAAATGCAGTAGTTATTGAAAGTAAGAACTATGTAGAAACTTCTGATTCAACTCTTTCGGTAAATATGCAAGATACAAAACTGATGACGGGGGAATACAAATCGTGAATATAGATATTAACTGATGTTTTTTTAATGTGATCGATTGTTTTTGATTTTTTTCGCGTTAATATCTTGTATTCTCGGAGACAACACAAAAAACAAAGTTCTCTCTCAATAGAATGGATGTCATTTGCTTAATACATGAAAACCACCAGTTCCTGGACTCACTATCTTATTCAGTTTTGTCTTTTTTAACATTTATAAAATTTACATACTACCTTTCTAGTTAATGGGCTATATCGCATATCCTCAACAAATGGTTGGTGTATACTCATAGGAGAAACACTGATTGTTTATCATGTTTATGATTATGAGCACAGTTCGTCTGGATGGATGTTAGCCTACAGGATAAGTTTGTGGTAGTATGATCAACATACGAACTCCTAAGAGTCCAGATTATATATACATAATATTTTGACGGTAGGTATTATTAGAAATAAGATTACATATTTTAATTTTATTTATTCATAATATTCAATTAGCAATATGTAACTGAAGGCTTAAAGGGTGTTTCATTTTGCGTATAATCGTGATGTATTTGATTAGGATAAATAATGGTTTATTGTGATTTTATTTTAGCATTATTGTCATTTTTCATTGGACTGATATTATTTGTTTATCAGTATCATTCATAGGGAGTCTATTATTTAAATTAACACACATACACATATTACACACATACACACAAACTACGCTCGCGTATATGTGTGGGAATGAGTAAGGATTTACATACAAGAGCAGAAATGTTATGTTTTTCAAACTTTTAAAATTTAAGAACGCTCATAAAAGTCTAGGCATGTTATGTATGTAAATACTTGAAAACGTATATTAGCCGACGCGTAATGATTTGATTTTGTGACAAGTATAAAATCCTTACATTTGACTCATAGGACGAAACGTGTCGGTTAAGATAAGTTTTCCTTTTTTTCTTTTCTACATTTTGTCCTTTTAGAAATTTTTTACACATATAAATACTTGTTACAAAAATTTCCTTTTTTTGTTACAAATTTTGTCCTTTCCTTTTTTTCACATTTTCTTGTTACAAAAATTTCCTTTTTTTCTTTTCTACATTTTGTCCTTTTAGAAATTTTTTACACATATAAATACTTGTTACAAAAATTCTTTGCATTTTTCTTTTTGATAAAGTCCCTCAGATGACGAAACGCGTCGACTAGGATAATTTCTTCTTTTGTCTTTACTCATATTGTCCTTTTAGAGATATACTGTATCTGAAATCTTACACACACACGCACGCACATATATATATGTATGTATGTGTGTGTGTGTGTGTGTATGTGCGCAATATATATCAGTATTCTGATATATTGTCATTGAAATATTTGAGAGAAACGCCTTGGACCTGTTTTGTGCACCCCTCATTGGTGAAAGTATTATAAATTAATTGTAATAATACAATACCAAGTTCCCTTTTACATATGAAGTATGTGATTTGGATTGAACTTATTTTTTCTAGTTCTTTTATGACGATTTCTACATGTATTATGGCGTTTAAAAGTCTTCATTCGATCTTTGTAGAACTGTTCATACGTACTGGGTTCATTGGCTTGGCCATTGTCAGAGTCATAGTCAGCCGGTGGCAAGATCATTTCATTAATTTCTTCCGAGTCAGTGTCATTTTCACTCGACGTATAGTCCGGCTCGATATCAATGGTTGTACTCGCACTGGCCATTTTCTTAATCATATTCTCAGCTCGTTGCTTTCGATCAGAATCGTTCGACATGAGATGCGTAGTGGACATGAGATGCAAAAATGTCCCCCATCTATGCATACACATACCAGTGAACTGAAGAAAAAGGACAACACCAAAGACACCCAGGAACATCACTGATATTGGTTCATACTTTCCCACAATAAAGAAAGTCTCCATCTCATCTTTCATTGTTTGTAACTGCATGACAGCAACACTCCAGAGGAGATTCAACAGGAAATAACCAAACACAACATTATTACGTGTCATCTCCAAGTCTGTTTTTATTCTATCTTTTTCTTCTTTATTTTCCTGTAAAGGATGTAAATATTTCTTAAGAATATAACCCCAGAATCTTTCTTCCATTTCGTCTATTGTTTCGGCATGTCCGTTTCCATAACAAGGCAGTGTTGTCCAGTAATACGGGTCAGTTTTATATTTTACAATGTTTGACTCAATTCGTATAAGTGGTTTAATTATTTTTTTCTTAGGCGTTGGATTTTGATTTTCGACATCAGCGCCTGGCTGAGCATTAGGGTCCGGTAATCGTTTTTTGCCGAGCAAATCGTAAAGTACATTTCTTATTTCCTCAAATAAAGGCACAATTCCAATGACGTTTAATAAGCTTTTCTCTTTTTTCTTCTTCTTCTTCTCTTCTTCAATTCGCTTCGCCTCTTCCTGTTCTTCGGGAGTGAGCTTCTTAACAACTTCTCGAGTCCCCCAAGACACGATGTTCAGGTTGCACAGGAAATAAACAGTGAGGAAAATGAATGACGATGGCACCGTGAGGAAATACAAGATACCATGAATTAAGCAGACAATTTCTCGAGGGTGGAGTATACCACAAACGGAGAACACTATTGCCAAACCAACTAGGAATACGACATTCGGGGCAAAAAGTTCGTCATGCAAGATATTAATTATAGTACCTACCGTGACAATAACCATGACAACGGAATATATACTAGTCATAAACGCTGCTATGTTTATTTGCGTACTTGTTTTAGTTTTCATGCAGATGATTATGTATAATATAACTGGTGCTAAAGAGATTGCAAAGGACTTCCACATGCTTATCTTAAGAACGGCGTTATAAGACCCAGCAATCATAAGCACCACGGTGGCTGGGGCTAAAACGCTAGATGTCATCAGAATGAATTGGTAAAACATAAAAAAGACGCTGATATTATCATTTAAGTAGACGGTTGTACGCCAGGTTGATAAAAGGTCCATTATGTTAGCGATTGTTGAAGGTGCCCATCGACGTCTCTGAATGTAGAAATCATGGAAATTCTCCGGGGCGAAGGTGTAGGCGTCAGCACCAGCACAATAGTCAATCTTGTAGCCTTGTTGTAACAGCAGAGTGCAAAGCCATCTGTCTTCGCCTGTAAAAGATATTTTACATAGGAATTTTAGTAACGTTAAGAATATCATTCTAACAAGGGGGAAAGATTTTGGACATTGAATTTTCATAATTCGTTTTGTACTATTAGTTTTTAACCATTTCACTGCAAGCAAGGCAAAAAATGCAAGGGGGGGGTACTGAGCGTAAGAGAATATGAGAAACAGATTTTAAAGAAGAGAAAATAATAAAAAAATGGGAATTAAGACTGATGATAGCGGTTGACATTTCATTTAAATCTTTTAAGTTTAAATTTGAATGAAATACAAGAAGTATATCAAGCGATCAGTGTAAGAAAAGAAACTGTTAGCATAGAACTTACGGTTACATCTAGTCATTTTACTGTAAAATGATGAGACGTTGACGTCAATGTTAGTACTGCTCTTAAATTCATAAAGTCTAGGTATCAAAGAGGAAAGTTCAACAGAATAGTTATCGTGGAAACAATTATGGAAAATGTATATAAAAAAAATCTAGGTTACGACGACGGAAAAGTGTCTGAAGATGAGATGCCAGTTCAGGACCAATAGCATTGCGGATTCTTTTTTTTAATTTTATTAAGAAACTCTAAATATATAACAGAAACACCAGCTCAAATGTGGCAGGAAAGTTCAGTGCATGTAGGAATGATAGATTTATAAATGTGTCAGATAGATTCTGACAAGAACAATTGTCTAGCACGACACAGTGCAGGCGTTTTCCTAGCAGCAGTTAATTACTCACGTCAGACTTCTTGCACATTTATAAATCTACCGTTTGACAGTATATTGATTATTGCAGCGTTATATGGCCTGATGCTCTGTCTATTTCGAAATTCTCGACAAAATCCAAAGAAGGACATTTCAATTTATCGGTCCTGACCTAGTATCTTGACTTCACTCTCTTTCCCCCTGTCGTAACATGGTTTTCCTCTTGCTTTTCTATCGATATTTTCGTGGCTATTGCTTTAATGAGGTCTCATCTTTGGTATTTGGATTGCACGGATTTAAACATATTACTAGGCAGTTTCTCGCAATACTTTTCATGTTACTCTGTTTGGTTTACCTGCTTTTCTGATACCTACGATCTTCAAAATTTTAAATACAACGTCAAGCGCTATTTTCTGTCTTCCCGAAACTAATTCTTTTATTGTTCTTACTCCTCAGTAATGTCTTCTCATTCTGTTACACTCACACTAACTCCTGGCCTATTACTGGCAGTAACGCCTTGCTTGGGTGGGGGACATGAGTTAAAAAAGAAAAAGAAAAAAAAACAAAAAAAAAAACAGCAATTTTCAAGTACAAAATACGAACGCACGTGAAAATGTGTGAATTAATCCTAGTAAAATTATTTTTTCAAATCACAGATTGACAATATTTAATGAATTATATTTCATAAAAGAAGGTAAATCCAGCATGTAATTTTAATGAATTATCTATTAGACGATTGTCTCGATCTCATTACAGTACGTTATAGAGAATAAAGCCACTGCCTCACAACAGAAGGTTTTTCTCCTGTGATTCCTCTGTCATGTAGGTTTTTTTTTTTTTAACGGTATGGAGTTGCCAGCGTCACGTTCAAAACCGGTTTTGAATTCAGCGGTCTCTCTCAATCTCTTAGACTGATTACCAGACAAGTTGAGTGATCCCATTTATCACTGTTACTTATCATATGGCTAGGTGAAGAATATACTCTCATATTTTTCCCGTGTCTAGCGAGGAGAATAAATGGAGTCATACATTTTGTGTGAAAGTGAACGTAGCAGAATTTAAATTCGGCATGCCGTTTCTGATTTCTGCGCCGATAACCTCTCCGCGATGCGCACATCTATTGGATGAGTAAGGCTAGCATTACACCTCGGAAGTGATTATGGTAGATTAATGTAGAAATGAGATTTGCGGAGTCAGATGTTCAGTCAATATTGCAGTCGTAAAAATTGTCTTTCAACTGATTTCTAACTGAACATTTGTTTACATTTTCCGCGTTCGCTATTACTCTTGTTCTCAAAATACAAGTGCTGGCACGATTAGATAGTTAGTTTTTTTTATTTAAGATTAAGTCTCCTAATATTTGTAGTATTTTTAAGTTTATGTGAGATAGTTGTTTTCTGTTATTAGTAAAGTTGTGTCAGATTTCTTGTTTTTATTGTGCTGGTGTTAAGTGATTTAATTTAACTATTGTTGATAATTGGCACATTAATCGTCGCGGTAATGTAGTAGTTGTGAAACCACTGGATATGTTTGAATTATGATTATTGAAATTATATATATATATATATATATATATATATATATATATATATATATATATATATATATAAGTGAAGTCTCTGCAACAAATTAGAGTCTGAGCGCTCACCTTGTTCATATTGAATGAAGTCACGGGCAACAATAGGCTTCTTCGTGTATGCCCTCATAACATTGTCATCCATAACAGCTGATGCACGGAAAAGTGAAAAACATCCGGGACAACAAAGAACACATCCAAAAACGTGTTCAGCAGCTTTCTGGAGCCAATGACCCACTGCATACTCGAATTGTTGATACCAAATCATTGGGCCTGAAACGAAATGCGAAAAGAAAAATACAATCAGTATCAAATATATCCAGCTGTTTACAATTAGGTTGTGTAATTAGTGATTTCTGATTTTGGAAACCAAATGTAATGGCGAATGTATCATCCTAACTCACTGATCTTTACGAGAATTAAGGATGAAACATGGATAAAAGCAGTGGATTGTCAAAAATAAATCTTCACATCTGACCTCAAAAGGCTGAGCTCCTTAGAAGTTGTGTAGTGGAACCATCGAAGTATTATTTATTTAGAGTACTTAAAATGCATTGACTGACCAGCGGCTCGAATGTGTCATTAAAAATTTGGTTGAAAACCGTTCTGTGTTCGTCGAATGTTCTCGTCCATGACAATGCGAATCCACATAGAGTAGGGTAAAAATGAAAATAGGTTGATTTATTCTAACTTCCCGGCCATATTCACAGTTCCCGCACTGACCGATTATTACCTTTTTTCGATCACAAACCAGATTCAAGTATTCGCCGAAAATTCTTTTGCGAAATTTGTTACAAATGGTATCGAAGGACAGCAAGAAGTCATTGCAAGTAAAGGTGAATATAAAATTGAATAAAAAGCTATTGAACTTTATTATTTGAGAAATTAATTAGAGAATCAAAAACGGAAGTTATTTATGACTCAAACTAATAGACGCCATTTTATTATACAAGATGGTCCGAAAGTTCTGTCACACACTACTAAAAAATAATGAGAACAATAGAACAACAAGTAATGCAGTAATACAAAACACATGTACTGGATTCAATTTATTTACTTTCATTGAGTTTGTGACACTGTAGGAGCTCGTGTCAGCCATCTGAAATAGAAAATTTTATTATATATGGGTGACAAGACTTTCGGATGACGCTGTAATTTTAACAGTTTTTATTTTTTTTTTAAATATTCAGTTGCTGATTTGAAATGTTTGTACGCTTCGCAACTGATCCAACATTTTTGTCATTATGATTTTTGGAGGAAAATTGAGCTATACGTGTTACATTATACGTTACATTGATAAATATTTTTAGTTGGTTTTGAAAATGCATTTGTTCAAATTCAGGAAATAGAAATATTTTTAAAATCTACCAACTTACCGGAACCAATTGGGTGGATTCGTCCGCAAACAGCACCAACTTTTTTGTTTTTCAACATTCTATCGATTAAAAGTTTCACTGAGTCTGGTTTGAAGTCAACATCTCCATCCAATGTAAGTAAGAATGTATTTTCAATCTAAAAATATAAATTAAATGTGGTATAATCACGGTAATTTTCAAGAACAGTAAGTAAAACTCCAGGAACGCCAAGAGAATCTAGTGAGGAAAAGTGAGAAAGAAATAAAAAGATTCAATTGTAAAAAAAAACAGAATGCATGTTTCTCAAAAATGAGATGTGGGCTACGAAATGAAGATGATAAAATCCAGCAAGTGAGAAAGTTTAAATATCTTCGAAATGTTACAATAGAGGAAGGAAAATGTGACAGCGTAATCCGAAGGTGCATTGGACTAGCTAAAGACTCTTCCAAACTAAGCACTGTATTAATGAACAGGAAAAAAGTGCTGAATTGTTATGTAATATCAGTCCTCATGATAGTGGATGCTGGACAATCTCTTCACATAAAGAAGAGGCCTGAGACAGCAGTAGTGGTTCTACAGAAGGATACTGAGAATACCTTTTTTTGAACATGTGAGTAAAACGGATATTTTACGTTTAATGTAAACTAAAAAGACGCTTATACTTATAATAAAAAAAGACAGTTGAAATCGTTAGGGTCACATAATGAAAAATTTATACCTGGATAATTTGACACTTAGGAGAAATATTGACGGGAAAACTGGGTTGGGGGACTTAGCTAATGAGCTTGCATAAATTGATGGTAGAACTGTGAATTGGAGTGATAGGGAAAATAGAAAAATAAGTGGTAGAAAGGATAAGAAATTGTGCTGAGGTATAATCACCCACTTCCCGAAGGGACCCGAAACATAGAAGAAGATATCAGTTATATTTAATCAATGCTACTTTGATAATGCATTTATAGATTCAGATTAACCAAGGATTCATATATATTTAAAAAAAAGAATAACGGCAATTTATACATGATAATGGCTAGGGTATTTACTTTTTTATACTCCTCTGTCGGTAGGTGGTTCAGGATGGAAACGTTGCTTCTGACTTTGGAACTCTTTGACTGGTTTTTTGGGATAAGATCTTCAACAGATTTCTTGTCACCAAACGTTTTGAATCCCAACAAGTAATAAAGATACATCACCTGAAGGAGAAAAAAAGATAAAGTTCGGTTGGATTGACAGATTTTACTATGTATTAACTATCGAAGTGTTTTATAATATTAAAATAAGTCTTGTTACTTATATATTATGCTTGAATATATAGGTAAATACTCTTAGTTTATACTTAAGATTCTAAGCATTTACTTGTTTTAGCAATTGAGTTCACTAGTATTTAATTCCTTCAAGATAACTAAATATTAATTGAAAATACTGATTGTTCTTATTTGACTTTAAATAATTATTATCTGTTTGAATTTCTGGAATGAGAAGTTGTCATGATTTAAATTATTTGTATGCGAATTTTATTCGTTGTTGTTAATATCACAGTTTTGTATAAAGTGCTATCGTGTCTTCTTTAAGCGCAACCAGAAAATTTGAAACTGAACGATGATAGAGAGTTCTTGTTCTACAGTCAATTCCCACGGATATTTCGTCTCGTTCTTATTTAGTATAGTTCAGTTATGGCTCTCCCCGATTTCACTCAACTTAATTCTGACTTTAATCACTGTAGCGGACAGTGCAAAATTGTGTCTCATGACCAAAGTGTAACGTATGACTTTTCATTTCTTCTATCAGTTACGCACTACTAATCTGACACACACACACACACACATATATATATATATATATATATATATATATATATATATATATATATAAATAAAATAAATCGTAAAGAGCTTACCCTGAAAATTTGAAGATCCGTTTACGTGAAAACTATGTAAGTTTTCCTGGCTCTTTAGGATTTATTTTAGTTATTCCTGCTCTACTTAGCGTATTGACCACTCTACGTTTTAGTCTTACTACTAGCTTAGTTTTTTTTTGGGGGGGGACTAAAGACACTGGACGATTTATTTCGTCCAGTTCGGATGTTTTTCCAATTTTTTTTCCTCGTCTACTCATTTGTTTTGCCATATATACAAGTTGAGCTATCTGAGATTTTTTACCGAACGAATATATATATATATATATATATATATATATATATATATATATATATATATATATATATATATATATATATATATATATATATATATATATATATATATATATATATATATATATATATATATATATATATATATATAAATAAAGGAGGCACATTTGAGTAATGCATATGACTGGGATTGAGGAATCGGAGAGCAGAGTTCGAATTCAGTCCAATCCATTACATTCATATACTTGAATTCAATCGGAAAGATATGAAGCTTCCTCTTCTCCCTCCGGCTCTGGACAGAGTGGGGTTCTATAGCCTTGGATGACAACTGGTGAAGGAGAATGACAACTTTGAATTCAAAACCCGACTTCATAGCAAGAATTTTAGAAAACAACTATATATTAACAAACAACTAGCTAATAATATATTCGCAAACGACTATATATTAAAAAAAACAACTAGCTAATAATACATTCGAAAAAGAGTATATATTAAAAAAAACAACTAGCTAATAATATATTTGAAAGCGACTATATATTAAAAAACAACTAGCTAATAATATATTCGAAAACGAGTATATATTAAAAAAACAAAACGACTATATATTAAAAAAAACAACTAGCTAATAATATATTCGAAAGCGACTATATATTAAAAAAACAACTAGCTAATAATATATTCGAAAGCGACTATATATTAAAAAAACAACTAGCTAATAATATATTCGAAAGCGACTATATATTAAAAAAACGACTAATAATATATTCGAAAGCGACTATATATTAAAAAAACAACTAGCTAATAATATATTCGAAAGCGACTATATATTAAAAAAACAACTAGCTAATAATATATTCGAAAGCGACTATACATTAACAAACAAATAGCTAGTAATATATTCGAAAACGACTATATATAAAAAAGACAACTAGCTAATAATATATTCGAAAACGACTATATATTAAAAAAACAACTAGCTAATAATATATTCGAAAAAGATTATATATTGACAAACAACTAGCTAATAATATATTCGCAAACGACTACATATTAAAAAAACAAATAGCTAATAATACATTCAAAAAAGAGTATATATTAAAAAAACAACTAGCTAATAATATATTCGAAAACGAGTATATTTTAAAAAAACAAATAACTAATAATATATTCGAAAGCGACTATATATTAAAAAAACAACTAGCTAATAATATATTCGAAAACGAGTATATATTAAAAAAACAAAACGACTATATATTAAAAAAACAACTAGCTAATAATATATTCGAAAACGAGTATATATTAAAAAAAAACGATTAGCTAATAATATATTCGAAAGCGAATATATATTAAAAAAAAAACTAGCTAATAATATATTCGAATACGAGTATATATTAAAAAACAACTAGCTAATATATTCGAAAGCGACTATATATTAAAAAAACAACTAGCTAATAATATATTCGAAAACGAGTATATATTAAAAAAACAACTAGCTAATAATATATTCGAAAGCGACTATATATTAAAAAAACAACTAGCTAATAATATATTCGAAAACGACTATATATTAAAAAAACAAAACGACTATATATTAAAAAAACAACTAGCTAATAATATATTCGAAAACGAGTATATATTAAAAAAAACAACTAGCTAATAATATATTCGAAAGCGACTATATATTAAAAAAACAACTAGCTAATAATATATTCGAAAACGACTATATATTAAAAAAACAAAACGACTATATATTAAAAAACAACTAGCCAATAACATATTCGAAAACGAGTATATATTAAAAAAACAACTAGCTAATAATATATTCGAAAGCGACTATATATTAAAAAAAACAACTAGCTAATAATATATTCGAAAACAAGTATATATTAAAAAAACAAAACGGCTATATATTAAAAAAACAACTAGCTAATAATATATTCGAAAACGAGTATATATTAAAAAAACAACTAACTAATATATTCGAAAGCGACTATATATTAAAAAAACAACTAGCTAATAATATATTCGAAAACGAGTATATATTAAAAAAACAAAACGACTATATATTAAAAAAACAACTAGCTAATAATATATTCGAAAACGAGTATATATTAAAAAAAAACAACTAGCTAATAATATATTCGAAAGCGACTATATATTAAAAAAACAACTAGCTAATAATATATTCGAAAACGAGTATATATTAAAAAAACAAAACGACAATATATTAAAAAAACAACTAGTTAATAATATATTCGAAATCGACTATATATTAAAAACAACTAGCCAATAATATATTCGAAAACGACTATATATTAAAAAAACAACTAGCTAATAATATATTCGAAAACGACTATATATTAAAAAAACAACTAGGTAATAATATATTCGAAAACGACTATATATTAAAAAAAACAACTAGCTAATAATATATTCGAAAACGACTATATATTAAAAAAACAACTAGCTAATAATATATTCGAAAACGACTATATATTAAAAAACAACTAGCTAGTAATATTTTCGAAAACGACTATATATTAAGAATTTTCGATACTCAGCCTGAACAGCAGGAATAAATATATTTTTCATGGTCAGTAACTAAGACAAATATTACTAACAATGTGAGGGTTATTATATATCTAAGATAAAGTGAAAGCTCTTACCTGAGACCATCTTTTTCTGTGACGAATCTTGTCTTTGTTTTTCAAATGAATTATCATTGGGGTTGTCCCTGGCATTTTTATTTCCAATCTTCCCCCGTACGGAGTTGTAACTTTTTTTATGGGTCCCAAAGGGACGTGTCCTTTCGCAACAGACCTTAAAAACACAGAAGAATAAGAAGGTTACTTATTTTTGTGCTTTGTGAAATATTTGTTTCTCTTATAATCTACATAAACGAAAGTGAGTTACAAGAAAAATTACCTTATTTCGCTAGAGAAAAATGTAGAATGAATTAGTTTTTGGTTGCATCCCCACCTCCCCCGTTATCTGAAAGCATGTTCGATAAAACCATTTCTAAGCCTAAATAAGGAAAAACGAACAAATATTTATTTTTGATATGGAAAATATTTTGAAGCGTTTTCAGATCGCAAAATAACCATGGGTTGTTCGCAATTATTGGCAGAGATGCAATGATTGCATGAAGTAAACCTTTAACATTGAACTTTGGACTCTAATTTATGACAGCTTTTCAATAGATTTTCAATGTCTCTTAATAATTCTAGGACAGAAAAATGCTATAGATGATGCAATCAACCTTCTTTTGTCATGTTTCTTCAAGACATTGTGGATCATGCTTTCCATAATTTCCTGTCCTTTGTAGCTCTTAAAAACTTTTGTCCTTTTGTTGCTCTTCTAAAACTTGTTTCGCCATCCATTTACACAAGTTTGCTAGACAGTGTATTAATTGTTTTCCTCTTGCCTTCAAATATTCCAGCGAGTATCAAATTTTCCAAGACCTCTTTCCACATTATGTGCCCAAGAAATTTCAACTCTGTCTTCCGGATTTTAAGTATATGTCTCTATTTTGTTTCCATTTCTTTAAAACGTTGTGGTTGCTCATATGTACGGTCCATGGTATTCTCAGCATCCACCCGTAGGATATATTTACGTTCCTTCAAGTATCTCCTTTATCTGTGAGGAGATTGCCCAGCACTGACAGTAGAACTGATATCACATAACAGTTCTGTATTCTTATTTGAAAATTGTCTGTTTCTTAATACTTTATTTAATTCTTCGCCACCGACGCTCGTCGTCTTCCACTCCTTTCTCTGTCTTCACTTCCCGTTTCGCGCCTCGTGCGTCGTTTGCGCTACGAGTCACCGATAGCAGCGCTACCCCGTCGCTAACCGGCGCGTGGGGCAAAACGGCTCCTCGCCCGGGTTTTCGCAACCAAACACAGTCACATTTAATGTCCTCCTCATCAGTGGATGATTTCAATTGGAACACCGACATCCAAACTATTGCCTAAGATACTGGAAAATGGTTATCGCCCCAGAAATAACCTCTCCCCTTATATCATGTTTTACCTTTAAAAATGTCAGAACAGACCAAATATGGAATATTGCTGCTATTTCGCAAATCGAACTAACTAAGAGTCTACCCACTTTCAAGCTTTTCTATTAAAAAACTTTAACGTTGTCTTGTGGGCGGACACATATCTCACATGTTTTTAATGGCAAATGTTCTGATGAACTCTATTATTTGCTTTCACTAATTCATACATGTACAGAAAAGACACGCTTTGTTGCTTCCACAGAATCGAATTATCCTCAATTCTTACAAGATCCAAATTTAATAAAAGTTTTCAATTTCACCAGTTATTTCCAATGAACTGCTACTTTCCTTAAGTGATACTTTTGCGGATGCTTCCACGAATCTAACAATCATTGCTAAGTCAGTCAATGATCAATCGTTATATATCCTTTGTATCCTCATAATCATTAATTCCTATTTTTTTCTTTCACATAACAAACTTCATTCAGTATTACCATTTTAGCTCTAACATTCTAACTTCAGTGGTTCTTGAATCTTGTATTTGGTAAGGTTTAGTATAAAAATTTTAGTTGTCAGTCATTTGGGGAGACACCTTCTTGATAATGTTATGTGGAGAAAAATCCCAACATGCCTGAAAATCATAAAACGGTTTGATCCAGGAATGACGGTGATAGACTGAACACTTCGGAATGCGTCAATAATAGCCATTTACAATATTTTGAGCCAGATGGCACTGCTCCCACTGTTCAGCAGTAACATTTCGATTCTGACGACATCATGATAACTAAACATTCTTAATGAATATCCCAAGACATAAGTACCCAAAACGAGAATATTCATTTTATTTTTGAGGGGTGAATTACTAATGTTTGATTTTTGTCAAAGCGAAATGACTTCAAGAGAGTTTTTGGAAAATAAGTGTTACTTGCAATTTTAAATCAGAATGGCTGATGCTAACGCCCAGGAAAGAAACTCATTTCGCCTTCTTGCTCTTAACTTTTCCACTAACATGAAGTGGAGTGATTATATTCAACCAATTGTTAGTTTTACTGCTAGAAAAGGTGTTCCATTGTGTCGTCCCAGAAAAGTTCTTTTTCTCTAGAATCAATCTTGCATGTTTATAAATCTACCATTTGTCGGTGCCATATCTGGTTTAGAACTGCTGTAATATATTTAGAGATTCTCGACAAAATCCAAAGATGGTTCTATAATGCTATCGGCCTGGCATGGCATCCCGACTTCAGTCACTTTCCCACCGCCGTGACGAGCCTTCCTACTGCTTTTTCTATGAATATTTTTATGGGAATTGTTCTGATGAACTTTCCTGCTTGGTACCTCTTCAATTTATGTGCACTATTAGATTGAAACTAGGTTTCATCGTTTTACTATTGAAATACCTGAGATATAATTGTAAGTTCTCTTCTAAATGATTATTTCATCGCTCTTTCTTCGCGTGGAAATGTCTTACGGTTCCTTGCTTTACAGTCACTACGATCTTCAAATACTTAAATGCGAGATTAATCGCCATCTTTTATCTTCCTGAATGTTCATCTTTTATTTTTCCTTCTACCTTACTAAATTCTTTTCATTCTCTTTCTCTCTTTAACCACTTGCCCTCCTACAAGCATTATCGCCTTGTTTGAAGGGGAAAATATTAATCATAATCGTATTATTTTGGAGAAATAGAGAAGAATATCAACAATTTAAAATATGTACTGCTTGTTCATATTCATAACTCCTGCTTCAATGAATGAAAAAGAATAAAAAACAACGAAATCTGCTTTTTATTCTTTTTATTCAACATTAAATAAATAGGGTCAGTTAAAACTGTAATACGTGTTTTTTAACTGCAAAATAATCGCACAATAAGTACAAAAGTCTCAGGATTCGAAACCTGAAATTAGTCTGCCTCCTTCTTCCCTCTCAATCGTGCTCTCCTATGGTGAATATCAATGTTTGTAGTATTTCTGCATAGAGAATTTGAGTGATACACCTCTTCTTCGTAATCTGAACATTTCCAGAGACCAAACAATGGATGTAAGTACAGGTGCTCATCGCTGGTGGTGGGAGGTGCATATTCAATGACGGTAACAATTTGAAGAAGTAATGTTTTGTACTCGTAAATTTGCTCTCCCCATGGTGTTATTGGACTGTATCTGTTGTAGTTCCCGCGAAAATGAGATATCTATCATGCATGTAAATTCGTGTTTACGCCTGTGCATATTGCAGTTGTGTTTATCATATTAACTTGGCGATTTGCTGAATAAATATTTTTTCTTATCTCTTCAATATTTATCAACTGGTCGAAAATTTACTTTGATCTTTTATTTTAATCTCTGCTCACTCAAGTACCATTTCCTGTTTTTTGTTTTATCTCTTGTAATTGTAAATGCAGAGCATTTTCAATAAGAGCTACTTAGAATAAACATTTTTATACTAATCTTTATGGGCCAAAGTTGAACGTTACTATGTAGCGTTGTATGAGCCTTTGAAGAGGCCAGAAGTGCAGTTAATGAGGTTATGCAAGACAAATAATAGTTAAGCCGCGACTTGAAGAGTTGGAGATTGTAAACTTAATGAAAAACATATTGCCGGTAATTTACATGTTTTCCTGATCACGGTAAACTTGACCAATACTATTTAAATAATATTTTTGCCATACTGGTTATCAAATTCACTTGAAGTAATTTACTCACATAACAGCTTCAGGGATTAAGGAAACAAATTCCTTTACAAAACCATTTGGTATTTCCTGTTTGCTAACCTCGTCAATTTCCCAGGCATCATCGAAAATTATATGAACTGCAAAAAATAATTTAAGATTAATTTAAAAAAAATATATCATGGAATTTTACGGGTACTTCTCGTTTGTTATTATTTTGCATACAACAAAAATCAAATAATATTAATTTGTGAAACATGAAGATACATCATGCAAAACAACAGTACATATACTATCAAAATTTAATATTGATAGACACAATATTAGAAGCATAAGATGTATAGATGATACCATGTTGAGTGAACACAAACACATAAAAAATGAAGGCCGTCCTAATAAAAGAAAGTGGGAAGAAAAATGTTCATGTTATACAGGAATAAAGTGTCAGTGATAAGACTGGAGTTTGAACACAGATCACCACATTATTTTGAATAATTATATCACGACATGGTAAAGGAAATGTATGTATGGGAATTGGCGTGGCGCCTAAGTGAATTACTTCTGAGTGTGCTAGTCAAACTCTCTGCCTCTAGGCAGAAATGATTCCAAGACGAGGCTATGTTGAAAGACAGAATCTCGTCTCCGAAAACGGCTACTCGACCCCGTTTATTATGGTGTCTACGGGGAACTTTTAGCCAAGCCTACAGGCTCGGATACCCCACAATAACCTCAACCTCGTGCCACATCCTACTGCATGGGCGGTTAGTGAATACCTTACTATTCGGATGACCTTTGAAATGTGCTGTTAAAACTCTCTGCCTGCGGCCTGACAGGATCCCCAGACGAGGCTATGTCAAAGGGCAGATTCTCGTCTCGAGAGACAGCTATCCGATCATGATTTTACGGAGAATATTTGGCTGAGCCTACGGGGTCGGCCCCACCATAAGCTCGGCCTTGTGCCACATCCGAACGCGTGTGGCGATTAGTGAATATCTTCACTATACGGATGACTATTCGGATCAGTATTCGGTGGTTATTATTGAAGCGAGTATTTTCGAGCACGTACTATTAGTGCGAATGTTATTCGAAGGCGTCTAACACCAGTATTGTTAAACTGCGTTTCTATAGTTGTATCTGCGATTACAAAGTCTCTACTACAACGAGCATTACGAAATGACAGCGAGCATTCGTTTACATTACGAAAGTGTCAACGAGTATTCGCTGACATCACAAAAGTTAATCATTAATATGAAATTATATATGTTTATTAGCAAAAAAACAAAACAAAAAACAAAAACAAAATGCGGGCTACTATTTGGAAATGTCAACATCTAAATTGAATATGCTAAATTATTTCAACTGATGACTGAAAATGTCCCAGAAATCCGATGGAACATCGGAAAATCACATGATTCATTCTAAACGCTAAAATTTGTATGAGAAAAATATCTGTAGAAACAAAGAAAATCGTGCTGAAATGCTATGTAATATCAGTCAATTTTCTCACAGATGAAGAAGCGATTTGAGGTAACTCCAAAAAAACAAAGGTAAATGTAATTCTACAAAATTGTGATGCTGAGAATACTATGTACAGGGCATGTACACAGAGAACATTTTAAATAAAATCGAAAGAAAATGACACTTTGCTTAGAATCATCTAGCGATAGTTGAAATTTCAGGTACCCATCACGAGGAAAGAGCGCTTGGAGAATATGACACACATAGCATAATGAAGGCAAGAAGGACAGAGAGAAAAAGCGAGTAACCTTCCTAGCAGTCTTTTGTAAAAAGACGACAGAACAGAGACTGAGAGGTAGAGCAAAGAGACAAATATTAGAGCTACAAAGATAGAAATTGCAAAGATCCATGATCGTCCACGATTCGAAGTGGCGGCACGTAAAGGAACAAAAAATAATTTAACGTTTGGCTTTCGATCGCTTATTTCATAATTTTGATAAAAAAAAAACGGACAGATTTAGAACTGAACCTTTTTTAAAAGAAATTCTATGTAAAGATTAACAAATTACAACTTTCTAGCCCTCAAGAAATATTCAGTCATTTAGAACAGTGGACTCCAACCATTTTTATATTCTGGACCGGCTTCATGCCGGATAATCTTTCCGCGGACCCGTTGTAACATATATATATATATATAATTTAAGTGCATTTCGATAAAGAGAACATCAATAAAAGCAGCAATTTATTAAAGAGAAGAGTACGTGCATAATCTTTTGTCTCATGTCTGAACACTAGCCGACCACACTTTTGCATGATTAGTCTCCCCGAATTAATCGCTATTACACTATTATCACATCAATATCAACTCACCATAATGTAAAATTAGTGGGAGCCCTCAGGTTATCCTGCAACTATACAGTCCAATCTGGGAGTGATGGAAGTCAAAACCACTCGACGTGTATTCTTTATAACTAGTCTATTTCATAGTCTTAATTTGGCTATTGTCACTGCAGAAATCATCGCTTCACAAAGACATGACTTTGGAGACTAAGGTCCAATATTCAATTTCTTCACATTTACAAATCTCCTATTCGTCCATGCATGAAATACTGTTGTCATATATGGTTTGGTGCCCCCGTTGTTCATCTCAAGGTTCTCGACAAAATCCAAAGACGGATATGCAGTGTAATCGGACCTGACTTGGGATCTCAAGTCCAGTCACCGTCTCACCGACGTAATGTGGCTTCCCTTTGTCTTTTCTGTAAAAATATTCATGGTATCTGCTCTGATGAGGTATTTTCACAGGTGTCCCAACAACATGAATTTAAGCGTGCTACTAGGATGGCATCTCGGTCCCACCCTTTCACATTGTCGAAACAGTTAAATGCAACCACATCTTCTACTCCAACAGCTTCTTTTCTCGAACTTCACGCAAGTGGAACGCCTTCCCTCTTAATTGCTTCCCTATAATCTTCACAAATTAAAATGTAATGTCAATCAACATCTTCTGTTGCCTTGATTCTTGTTCTTCTTTTCATCCTTCTCCGTTCTTTTTTTATCATTTCCTCACCCCCCCCTACCCAATCTTTTCCCTTACTTACACTCTCTGTCACTCCTTGCGTACTTGTATCACTCCCGCCTTGCTTGGGGCGAATTGCTTAAAAATATATATAATTTCAAATAAGTTAATTATTCCTTTGCGACCCGGTAGCAAATGATCCACGGACTGGTACCGATCCATAGCCCATTGGTTGAGAACGTTTGCTTTAGATCATAAAATGCTTAACGATGACCCAGACAATTAGCCGCAATGTCAATATACAGTGATAAGAAACATCGAAATATTAACGTACAAGGTGTTTAAATGTAATCAATGTATTCAAAAACGCATACAAGGCAAGCAGTAATAGCAGATATATAACTCAGCATCAAGAGACACAACAATAAAAATTATTAATAATTTATTTGCGATTTATACTATAGTAATCTACAATTTATTAATAAACTATCTTAATCTAAATAATTATAAAATAATTTGATATTATATATTTATGTGTGTCTGAGTAAAATTTCAGATATAAGTAAAAGAATATATCTGTAAAAGTAAAAGGACAATATAAAAAAAAAAAAAGGAAAAGAAAACTTACCTTAGTCGACGCGTTTTGAGGGACTTTATCAAGTTATATAAGGATTTTATTTTACAACAAGTATATATAAACAAAAGTAAAAAATGTTGCTAGTTTTGCAAGATTTTTAAATTTGAGAAGCACTAAAAAATATTTATCAGGATAACTTCCTTAATTTTAAAAAGATTGAAATAAATTAAAAAAAATTGAAACAAAGTAAATATTTAGCATTCGGAACGTTACGTATATTTGAAGTGATAAATTACAAAAGAAAAAAAAAGCGAAGATAAATGCATTTTGTTTTGTAATTAGACAAAAATAATAATCACATACTTTCAAGGTCGTAACCGTCATTTTCTTTTTTCTCCCATTCGTTTTTCGCTGCAATCTGCTTTGAAATCTTCGCTACAATCTGTTGTTTGTCCAACCTACAGTAAATGAATAAATATATAGACATAGTTGTTATGAATAATCAAGGGTGGTCTCCCCTTGTTTTGTTACTCTCCTCTTTTACAGGGACTATAAAAGGACACTATACGCAAACCTTGTATTCTCAGTTTGAATAAATCTTATATATATACATAATTTATTCGAAAATAAAAGCACTAGAAAAATAGCCATTTTGTTTCAACACTTCTGGTGTCTTATCAAGTGATAGTGTTGAATTCAAACCATCTTGATAAGACACCAGAAGTGTTAAAACAAAATGGCTATTTTTGTACTGATTTAATTATAATTTTCTAATAAATTATATTTTATTTGCTCTACTATGTATTGAGCATTTTTTAGAATAGTATTTGTGGTTATTGGAATTTATACTATACTTGGGTATATATACATACATACATATATATATATATATATATATATATATATATATATATATATATATATATATATAAAAAAATAACATCAGTCGAAATTTGTATGCAGCAAACCAAATTTTAAAGGGCGTAATAATAAAATCGTTTCTGCAGCACAAAAATCGATTTATAAATTTTACTAAAATTTGTCTCCTTAGACTTTTTTATGAGTATAGTCAGACGCAATGCTATAGGTTTACTGCGTAAAATGTTGACGATTATATGAAAGGATAGAAGGATGTCCATTTACAAAAACATATCTTCACAGCTACCAGCTCATTTAGCGCCCGTCGTAAAGTGACGATTATTTGTATTATGTGATGTATATATAGAATACTAAATAAAAAAAAAATTAAATGTTTTTTTTTTTTTTTTTTATCTTTAGATCTTTGGCTTATTTTCTAAATTTTACCGGGTTAATTCTGTGTTCAAATTTGACCTTTCCGGGGTTTAATGTCAACGTATGTTTGCTTTCTACAAAATTGTAGAATTTATTGAAGCCACTGCCTTAGTGCTTACCTAAAGAGAGATTTTAGAAGCTGTACCATTTCTTGTCTCGTTTCATGCCATGTCGTAGCGCACACAAGTAATTTCGGTCGGCTTTTCTCATTCGGGCTTTCTTTATCAACCTTTACTTTATTTTCTTTGTTTTCTTTATTTTCTTTGTGGTCTTGCCGCCTCCGAAGCAGCAAAGAGAGATCAAGTAACAACGGATCAAACTGCGGAACAAACAATCTGAAATTTTAAAGAAATGGATAAATATAAAAAGAAATGAAAAAAAAACATACAAAGAAAACAAAGACCAGATGCCCTCATTTTTGAGCAATAAGAAGGATTTATGGCAAGGGTCGGCAACCTACGGCCCGCGGGCCGGATCCAGCCCGCAGGCGGATCCGGCCCTGAAGGGCATTTTGACCGGCCCGCGAAGGCATTTTGACCGGCCCGCGAGCTTGATTACCAATGACTATTTTTAACAGGAGAGACGAAGATTTCGTATTAGACTATATGCCAATTATCTTTCATGAGGCTTATTTTACCAAG